ACAAACGACAGCGTAGTCGACAATGACTGGTTCCAGCTCGCCAAAACTCCACGACAACAACAGCATTACATCTTAAAATAGCTCAACCGTCGAAAGGCATCGCCATAAATACCTCGCCGCTGTATGATAAAGGAAGAGCATTGGTAAAAAGATTGCTCTGTTCAGAGAGGAAGTGTCCTGATGGGAAATCTATCAGAGAAATACATCCTCGGCGTAGAGCCTAGAAACACCCACAGGGAGTAATAAAATATCGGTTTGGGCAATTAAAGGTGACAAATACAGCCTGTGTACATGATCATGAGAAACGCATTTCAACGAAGGCAGTTGGTTCTGAGTATATTCATGTACGGCATGTGGCACATGTACAGTTAAAACGTTTATCGAAATTCGTTTCACGTCTAAATCAGAGAAAGAAAAAGTAAATTCGTTCTGAAACCATTGTTAAGTTCATAGCCTAGGTCGAGTGTGGTTTATTTATAGGGGGGGGGGGGGGGGGGGGTGATAATTTCAAAACATTCATTGCAAGGACTTTAAATGTGTGCCTTGCCCAAGAAGAACATAGGCAATTGTATGCTAACACAGATACGATAGCAAAGTGGAAAATAATCACTTCACTACACGACACAACTTCATCTCGGGATAGGTACACACCGCTGTGCACGTGACAGCTACACATATGCTTCCCAATACACAGAGTCCTGTTTCATCGTAATGCAACGTCTTTTCCACATACTCTTGTCAGGTCCTACAAGCAATAGCCGTGACAGGAGGGCCACCTTGAAGGGGGAAACACGGAATAACGAGACTCTGGAAAGCTGGGAATTCTTCAATTCTGTAATTGTCATTATCGTATTCCATATGGTGCTGTAGATATCCAAATACGTACCGGTGAGAATGAGCTTCACTGGTTAGTCATTCTTTCTCTCCTATACACGAGTCACCTCTCCTACTCTCCTTTACCCGAGTCAAAAGAGAGTACATATTACCTCTCTTACTCTCCTATACAAGTGTCAACATAGAGTACATATTACCTCTCTTACTCTCCTATATCCGATTGATTGATTGATTATTAGAAAGTTTTATATGTGTTCGGGCAACTAGGCCCGTTTACATCTTTCCCATAATAAAGGTTTGCTCAGCACCTAGATAGTTCATAGTGTAGTAAGACGACCACACACTTTAAAATCACCACACACAACAACTGAGATTGTCTGACATATTCAACAGAGAACTATAGACATCATAGGTTGCAAGAGCATTATTATAGACATGAAAAATGGAGACTGATCTTTTATCCTTCAAATGTATATTGACTTCATTCCCTTCCAATTGGGGTGGAGGAACCTTGTTTCACTAAATGACAGTGAGTGAGTTTAGCACTACCACCTCTAAAACCAAACTGACGATCTCTACGTCAGCAGAGATAACATTCCCAACGGAATTGCTGATTAGGATTCAAGAACGTCTCCTGAAGACTTAACATCTGGCATTGGGTCAAGACTGTTAATAAAAACCTTAACTCCTGGACCATTAGCATTTATTGAACTAACATCAAGAGTACCATTAGAAGGATGGATTAAGACTTCCATGGTTGACCCTTAACCATGCTCGTCAGATCATCAGGGGACAATTCTAACCCCAAGAGGGACTGGAGACTTGAATGCACGAGTAGTTCCAAGATTGGCAACGACACAAATAACGAAGTTGACAAAATCAACAGGAGAGACATTGTAGAATAGAGGTTTGCAAGAAGATTCAGGCACAATGTCAATTACAGGATGAGTCTGACATTCAACTTCCAGAGTTTAAGTCTGGGTACCAGTAGTCACCATGACTGGAGGAGAAACATCAGAAATTGGAACAACCGGACAACTGGTTTAGCTGCAGGTGGTGTTTTATTGACTTTTGGAACCTGATCCTGAGCAATATCCAAATCTCCACATACCTTTCGAACAGCCTGGGAATAAGATAATTTACCCTTTACTCTGACTTTCTGGACCTGGACAGCTTCCTGGTATTTAAGACAACCTTTGTATGCCGCAGAGTGAGCACCTCCACACACAGTTCTTACATTTAAGAGAACTTTCATTGCACTCCTCATATTTGTGCATACCCGTTGCTATACCACTTGCGCATGTCCTTTTTTCGTAAATCTCGTGGTGTTCATGCTCTGTGTGTGACAGACCACAACGTTGAACAGCGAAAGATTTTTAGTTGACTTATTTGTTGTGGGACGAAGACATCCTTAGAACTCCAGTCAACAGAGTACATATTACCTCTCTCACTCCCCTATACCTGAGTCAACAGAGTACATATTACCTCTCTCACTCCCCTATAGCTGAGTCAACAGAGTACATATTACCTCTCTCACTCCCCTATACATGAGTCAACAGAGTACATATTACCTCTCTCACTCCCCTATAGCTGAGTCAACAGAGTACATATTACCTCTCTCACTCCCCTATACATGAGTCAACAGAGTACATATTACCTCTCTCACTCCCCTATAGCTGAGTCAACAGAGTACATATTACCTCTCTCACTCCCCTATAGCTGAGTCAACAGAGTACATATTACCTCTCTCACTCACCTATATCTGAGTCAACAGAGTACATATTACCTCTCTCACTCACCTATAGCTGAGTCAACAGAGTACATATTACGTCTCTCACCCCCCTATACATGAGTCAACAGAGTACATATTACCTCTTTCACTCCCCTATAGCTGAGTCAACAGAGTACATATTACGTCTCTCACTCCCCTATAGCTGAGTCAACAGAGTACATATTACCTCTCTCACTCACCTATATCTGAGTCAACAGAGTACATATTACCTCTCTCACTCACCTATAGCTGAGTCAACAGAGTACATATTACGTCTCTCACCCCCCTATACATGAGTCAACAGAGTACATATTACCTCTTTCACTCCCCTATAGCTGAGTCAACAGAGTACATATTACGTCTCTCACTCCCCTATAGCTGAGTCAACAGAGTACATATTACCTCTCTCACTCACCTATATCTGAGTCAACAGAGTACATATTACCTCTCTCACTCACCTATAGCTGAGTCAACAGAGTACATATTACGTCTCTCACTCCCCTATACATGAGTCAACAGAGTACATATTACCTCTCCCACTCCCCTATGTGTAACAAAAATGTTCCAGATGGGTTGTCACCTAGACGTTTGTAAACAAAGGCTTCAGTGTAACTGAAAGATGTGTCAGATGAGTTGTCACCTAGACATTTGTAAACAAAGGCTTCAGTGTAACTGAAAGATGTTCCAGATGGGTTGTCACCTAGACGTTTGAAAACAAAGGCTTCAGTGTAACTGAAAGATGTTCCAGATGGGTTGTCACCTAGACGTTTGTAAACAAAGGCTTCAGTGTAACTGAAAGATGTTCCAGATAGGTTGTCACCTAGACATTTGTAAACAAAGGCTTCAGTGTAACTGAAAGATGTGTCAGATGGGTTGTCACCTAGACATTTGTAAACAAAGGCTTCAGTGTAACTGAAAGATGTTCCCGATGGGTTGTCACCTAGACATTTGTAAACAAAGGCTTCAGTGAGTGAGTGAGTGAGTGAGTGAGTATGGTTTTACGCCGCTTTTAGCAATATTCCAGCTATATCATGGCGGGGGACACCAGAAATGGGTTTCACACATTGTACCCATGTCGGGAATCGAACCCGGGTCTTCGGCGTGATGAGTTAACGCTTTAACCACTAGGCTACCCGACTGCCCCAAAGGCTTCAGTGTAACTGAAAGATGTTCCAGATGGGTTGTCACCTAGACGTTTGTAAACAAAGGCTTCAGTGTAACTGAAAGATGTTCCAGATAGGTTGTCACCTAGACATTTGTAAACAAAGGCTTCAGTGTAACTGAAAGATGTGTCAGATGGGTTGTCACCTAGACATTTGTAAACAAAGGCTTCAGTGTAACTGAAAGATGTTCCCGATGGGTTGTCACCTAGACGTTTGTAAACAAAGGCTTCAGTGTAACTGAAAGATGTTCCAGATGGGTTGTCACCTAGACATTTGTAAACAAAGGCTTCAGTGAGTGAGTGAGTGAGTGAGTGAGTGAGTGAGTATGGTTTTACGCCGCTTTTAGCAATATTCCAGCTATATCATGGCGGGGGACACCAGAAATGGGTTTCACACATTGTACCCATGTCGGGAATCGAACCCGGGTCTTCGGCGTGATGAGTTAACGCATTAACCACTAGGCTACCCGACTGCCCCAAAGGCTTCAGTGTAACTGAAAGATGTTCCAGATGGGTTGTCACCTAGACGTTTGTAAACAAAGGCTTCAGTGTAACTGAAAGATGTTCCAGATGGGTTGTCAACTAGACGTTTGTAAACAAAGGCTTCAGTGTAACTGAAAGATGTGTCAGATGGGTTGTCAACTAGACGTTTGTAAACAAAGGCTTCAGTGTAACTGAAAGATGTTCCAGATGGGTTGTCACCTAGACGTTTGTAAACAAAGGCTTCAGTGTAACTGAAAGATGTTCCAGATGGGTTGTCACCTAGACGTTTGTAAACAAAGGCTTCAGTGTAACTGAAAGATGTTCCAGATGGGTTGTCACCTAGACGTTTGTAAACAAAGGCTTCAGTGTAACTGAAAGATGTTCCCGATGGGTTGTCACCTAGACGTTTGTAAACAAAGGCTTCAGTGTAACTGAAAGATGTTCCAGATGGGTTGTCACCTAGATGTTTGTAAACAAAGGCTTCAGTGTAACTGAAAGATGTTCCAGATGGGTTGTCACCTAGACATTTGTAAACAAAGGCTTCAGTGTAACTGAAAGATGTTCCAGATGGGTTGTCACCTAGACATTTGTAAACAAAGGCTTCAGTGTAACTGAAAGATGTTCCAGATGGGTTGTCACCTAGACGTTTGTAAACAAAGGCTTCAGCCTAGATGGGTTGTTGTCGCCAATTACTTTCGTTTACAGGTCAACATTTTTTTAAATTATATAGATCAAATAAAACTGACAACATAGTATCAAAATATCTTTATTAAAAACATTACATACAACTCATTTAAATTTTACAATCACTCTAAAATATTTTCAATGAAACTGTATAATAAAATGATAAAAGTAGCCAAGTTGATGGACAAGATCTACATGCTTCATGTGTAAATAGGTTTCCCCTGTATGTATGTATGTATGTATGTACCAATCACTACCCACTGACAAATATAGAACTCACATAAATCATTAAACGTACACGAAAAAATAGAAACATGCATATAAAGATTTTCAGAGCAACTTGACATTAATTAAATTGGTCAATTATTTTCACATCTTAAGATAATTGTTTTTTGTTTTTTTAAATTTTCATCACAAAGAAAACAAAACTCAGCCATGTTGATAGTACACTGCTGACAGAATCTTTTACTACAGTATTTACACATGTATGTACATGCTACAGGTTGCAGCTACACCGATGGAATGATCACAGAAGGCTGGAGCAGAGTCTGAAATAACAACAGGTGTGTACATTGAGGCAATCAGTCCGTATTAGTTTAATGCTTCTTAATGCTGTTAGGATTCTCATCAAGTTGTAAATAAAAAATAAAAAAGTATGAATCCTTGCATTATATTGTGTAGATCCTTCTAAATCATAATTAATAATGACTGATTGAAGAATGTTTTTCTTTCCTAATAAAATAAAACAACGTTCTTGTGAGATTTCCATCACATTTTACAATGAGACCTATTGACCTTAGACAGATGACATTCTAGTTTGTGAACAAATATGTCAAGTATCAGCATTAAGAGAATGGTCACATGTGCTTTGATGCTCAATTCATGGGGGAACTCCACTTGCCATGCCAAAAGCTCACATAAATGTTTCACTTAAATAAGAAAAGATTTCCCCTAAGTGGGCTATATGAACCAGACTGCCGTACAGTGATCCCTCACTACAACGTTACCTTTGGGGTCAAAATAATTGATGAGCATTTTACTTAAAGATGATCAGCGGTTTAACAAAAGCGAGTTGTAGGGGTTAGATGACCAACAAAACAGTATACATGCTCTGCCTACCAAACACGATCTATGTTGCACGTTTCGGAGTTTTAAAAAAGATTACAATAGAAGTTGTTTATGATTCATAGTGTAAAAAATTTTTTATCGAGTATTAATATGCACTTTAAAAAACAACAACATCGTATCCCTTCATCGAATTCAGGTGAATAAACAGGTATAACAAACTTGGTCACTAAAGTATGAAATTTGATATAAAACATCACTAGACATGAAGATTTACCATTTAAAATGTATTTCCTGCTCTCCAAGGCATTGTTTTATATGCAGAGATTAAGATTACTGTGTGTATTTTCTCGTAAACTAAGGCGGAAATAGCAATCAGGTGTGCACGCGTTTCCTCCTAATCTACCGGTGATTCAGTTACAACGTACCCAATACAACTTCAAAGAATTTTGATGCAATGGTCGGGAGAAATTGAATCTGAAAATATTATTTTATCAGGAATAAAATATTCCAATATTGTGTTATTTTAGTTGGAGCTTCGACTATTTATAGGGGGCACGAGTGGCCCAGTCGTCTAAGGTGCCGCGATTCGCTGTGCAGAGTTGCATCCCTTGGGCACGCCAGAAATCTATGATTGTGGGTTCGAATCCCGGTTCGCCCCGATTATGTTTCTAGGTTTGTCAGCACCATACCCGTGCTCGTGGGTTTCACCGAAGTGGTAAACGTCTGAGACCTGCATCACTTCGGGCTTTCCTCCCACATTAAGCTGACACGCCGTGATATAACTGGAATACTGTTAAAAGCGGCTTTAAACCCAACTCACTCACTCCACTATTTATATTCTTAGAATTATAAGAATCATAATCGTAGCAATTTGGTAAGGTGGTATGCAGGGACTTCTCGCGCTACACGTATTTGATTGCGAAAATGTTATGTTGACATTTAATAGTCAAACTGCCTCAAATATGACTTTTAGCGAGTCATGGTACGGCATTTATGATATGTGTATCCATTCTCTTGCAACTAAAGTTCGTTTCAAGGTGTCAATAGCGGTAATCTGACCATGGTTGCTGAAAATAATGAGTTGTGCGACCTACCAATCACGATACGATTTCACCAAAATTATTGCAAACATTGTTATAATTATTGAATGATATTTTGAATATAATTAATAAAATAAATTGCAAACATTAGTCCAGATAAACACTGAACAATTTGTTTATAACCAGACATTATAATTATAGGATTAAATTGCGTACTTCAGTTCGGATTTGTTGACTTATTTCAGGCGTTACGTGATCGCGGTGATCAGCTGATAATGTCTTCTGAGATGGGGGGAAAACATCGTGTCATTGGAAAACTTGAGTTTATGTTAGTACATTTTGAGAGCCATGCTTTACCACGCGCTATAAGCGGGTTAGCACTATATCGAAGAGCGCAATAGCGAGGGAACACTGTATTTCAAAGGCAATGTAGAACTTACTGTTGTTTCCTGAGATTACACCAGTGGATAGCTAGCTTGCGTAGCAACACCGCACTGGTTGTTTTGATTGCGGCTCATCTTTACATATCCCTCCACACCCCAGGTAGTGCCCCAGCTGAAAAAAACACCATCAGATCAAGATACTGGTGAATGATGTCCCTCACATCTTCTTCATACAGAGCACTTCAGTAGGAAACAAGAAAACAGCGTTATCACTATCCCCTGCCATGGGGCACATTAGAACTTTCTTCATATAGTAGTAAATATACATGGAGAAAGGGAGGGTAACTCCAGAAACTAAAATTACAGCATCAATTTATGAACACTGTCTTGACAAATATCTCTCAGATAAGCATGCAAAGTTTCGTTCATGTAACTTCAGTAGTTTCTGAGAAAGCTTGTCCTCATTGCATTCACTATACACAAGTAAAAAAACATGGAGCAGAGGCCGTAACCGAGTTTCTCGGGAAGTTTGTCCCCATTGCATACACTATACACAAGTAAAATAACATGGAGCAGGGGCCGTAACTGAGTTACTGAGAAAGCTTGTCCCCATTGCATACACTATACACAAGTAAATTAACATGGAGCAGGGGCCGTAACCGAGTTACTGAGAAAGCTTGTCCCCATTGCATACACTATACACAAGTAAAATAACATGGAACAGGGGCCGTAACCGAGTTTCTCAGGAAGTTTGTCCCCATTGCATACACTATACACAAGTAAATTAACATGGAGCAGAGGCCGTAACCGAGTTTCTCAGGAAGTTTGTCCCCATTGCATTCACTATACACAAGTAAATTAACATGGAGCAGGGGCCGTAACCGAGTTACTGAGAAAGCTTGTCCCCATTGCATACACTATACACAAGTAAATTAACATGGAGCAGGGGCCGTAACCGAGTTTCTCAGGAAGCTTGTCCCCATTGCATTCACTATACACAAGTAAAATAACATGGAGCAGGGGCCGTTACCGAGTTACTGAGAAAGCTTGTCCCCATTGCATACACTATACACAAGTAAATTAACATGGAGCAGAGGCCGTAACCGAGTTTCTCAGGAAGTTTGTCCCCATTGCATACACTATACACAAGTAAATTAACATGGAGCAGAGGCCGTACTCGAGTTTCTCAGGAAGTTTGTCCCCATTGCATGCACTATACACAAGTAAATTAACATGGAGCAGAGGGCGTAACCGAGTTTCTCAGGAAGTTTGTCCCCATTGCATACACTATACACAAGAAAAATAACATGGAGCAGGGGCTGTAACCGAGTTTCTAAGGAAGTTTGTCCCCATTGCATTCACTATACACAAGAAAATTAACATGGAGCAGGGGCCGTAACCGGGTTACTGAGAAAGCTTGTCCCAATTGCATACACTATGCACAAGTAAAAAAACATGGAGCAGGGGCCGTAACCGAGTTTCTCAGGAAGTTTGTCCCCATTGCATTCACTATACACAAGTAAAAAAACATGGAGCAGGGGCCGTAACCGAGTTACTGAGAAAGCTTGTCCCCATTGCATACACTATGCACAAGTAAATCAACATGGAGCAGGGGCCGTAACCAAGTTTCTCAGGAAGTTTGTCCCCATTGCATTCACTATACACAAGTAAAAAAACATGGAGCAGAAGCCGTAACCGAGTTTCTCAGGAAGCTTGTCCCCATTAAAGGCAGGATGCACAAACAAGTAGCAAGGGACGTAACTCTGGAAAAAACTACCTCATGGCACCAATTTTCAAACGAAGCCTTGACAAATATCTATTCAATGAGCTTGCAAAGTTACATTCATGTAACTTTAGTAGAAAGTTTGTCCCCATTGCATACACTATACACAAGTAAATTAACATGGAGCAGGGAGCTGTAACCGAGTTTCTCAGGAAGTTTGTCCCCATTGCATACACTATACACAAGTAAATTAACATGGAGCAGGGGCCGTAACCGAGTTTCTCAGGAAGTTTGTCCCCATTGCCTTCCTAAAACACAAGTAAATCAACATGGAGCAGGGGCCGTAACAGAGTTTCTCAGGAAGTTTGTCCCCATTGCCTTCCTAAAACACAAGTAAATCAACATGGAGCAGGGGCCGTAACAGAGTTTCTCAGGAAGTTTGTCCCCATTGCATTCACTATACACAAGTAAAAAAACATGGAGCAGAAGCCGTAACCGAGTTTCTCAGGAAGCTTGTCCCCATTGCATTCACTATACACAAGTAAAAAAACATGGAGCAGGGGCCGTAACCGAGTTTCTCAGGAAGCTTGTCCCCATTGCATACACTATACACAAGTAAAATAACATGGAGCAGGGAGCCGTAACCGAGTTTCTCAGGAAGCTTGTCCCCATTGGATACACTATACACAAGTAAAAAAACATGGAGCAGGGGCGTAACCAAATTTATCAGGAAGTTTGTCCCCATTGCATTCACTATACACAAGTAAATAAACATGGAGCAGAAGCCGTAACCGAGTTTCTCAGGAAGTTTGTCCCCATTGCATTCACTATACACAAGTAAAATAACATGGAGCAGGGGCCGTAACCGAGTTTCTCAGGAAGTTTGTCCGCATTGCATTCACTATACACAAGTAAAAAAAACATGGAGCAAGGGCCGTAACCGAGTTTCTCAGGAAGTTTGTCCCCATTGCATACACTATACACAAGTAAATTAACATGGAGCAGGGGCCGTAACCGAGTTTCTCAGGAAGTTTGTCCCCATTGCATACACTATACACAAGTAAATTAACATGGAGCAGGGGCCGTAACCGAGTTTCTCAGGAAGTTTGTCCCCATTGCCTTCCTAAAACACAAGTAAATCAACATGGAGCAGGGGCCGTAACAGAGTTTCTCAGGAAGTTTGTCCCCATTGCCTTCCTAAAACACAAGTAAATCAACATGGAGCAGGGGCCGTAACAGAGTTTCTCAGGAAGTTTGTCCCCATTGCATTCACTATACACAAGTAAAAAAACATGGAGCAGAAGCCGTAACCGAGTTTCTCAGGAAGCTTGTCCCCATTGCATTCACTATACACAAGTAAAAAAACATGGAGCAGGGGACGTAACCGAGTTTCTCAGGAAGTTTGTCCCCATTGCATACACTATACACAAGTAAAATAACATGGAGCAGGGAGCCGTAACCGAGTTTCTCAGGAAGCTTGTCCCCATTGGATACACTATACACAAGTAAAAAAACATGGAGCAGGGGCGTAACCAAATTTATCAGGAAGTTTGTCCCCATTGCATTCACTATACACAAGTAAATAAACATGGAGCAGAAGCCGTAACCGAGTTTCTCAGGAAGTTTGTCCCCATTGCATTCACTATACACAAGTAAAATAACATGGAGCAGGGGCCGTAACCGAGTTTCTCAGGAAGTTTGTCCGCATTGCATTCACTATACACAAGTAAAAAAAACATGGAGCAAGGGCCGTAACCGAGTTTCTCAGGAAGTTTGTCCCCATTGCATACACTATACACAAGTAAATTAACATGGAGCAGGGGCCGTAACCGAGTTTCTCAGGAAGTTTGTCCCCATTGCATACACTATACACAAGTAAAAAAACATGGAGCAGAAGCCGTAACCGAGTTTCTCAGGAAGCTTGTCCCCATTAAAGGCAGGATGCACAAACAAGTAGCAAGGGACGTAACTCTGGAAAAAACTACCTCATGGCACCGATTTTTAAACGAAGCCTTGACAAATATCTCTTCAATGAGCTTGCAAAGTTACATTCATGTAACTTTAGTAGGAAGTTTGTCCCCATTGCATACACTATACACAAGTAAATTAACATGGAGCAGGGAGCCGTAACCGAGTTTCTCAGGAAGTTTGTCCCCATTGCATACACTATACACAAGTAAAAAAACATGGAGCAGGGAGCCGTAACAGAGTTTCTCAGGAAGTTTGTCCCCATTGCATTCACTATACACAAGTAAAAAAAACATGGAGCAGGGGCCGTAACCGAGTTTCTCAGGAAGTTTGTCCCCATTGCATACACTATACACAAGTAAATTAACATGGAGCAGGGAGCCGTAACTGAGTTTCTCAGGAAGTTTGTCCCCATTGCATACACTATACACAAGTAGATTAACATGGAGCAAGGGCCGTAACCGAGTTTCTCAGGAAGTTTGTCCCCATTGCATTCACTATACACAAGTAAATTAACATGGAGCAGGGGCCGTAACCAAGTTTCTCAGGAAGTTTGTCCCCATTGCATTCACTATACACAAGTAAAATAACATGGAGCAGAAGCCGTAACCGAGTTTCTCAGGAAGCTTGTCCCCATTAAAGGCAGGATGCACAAACAAGTAGCAAGGGACGTAACTCTGGAAAAAACTACCTCATGGCACCAATTTTCAAACGAAGCCTTGACAAATATCTCTTCAATGAGCTTGCAAAGTTACATTCATGTAACTTTAGTAGTTTCTAAGAAAACTTGGCCTCATTGCAGACACTATGCACAAAGTAAACAGACATGAAGCAAGGCCATAAGTGTGTAAACAAAATAATTCACGGCACCAATTTTTGAGTTCAGTCTTGATAAGTATCTCTTAGATAAGGACACTAACTTTCATTTATGTAATTGCAGGGCCTTAACAATGTCAACTCTGTAAAAAATGAATTTAATAGTCAGAGGTGAGGTTGCTAAGTTGCAACAATTGCCACTACCGCAGTGTTAGAAGATGTTCAGATCAGGGGTTGTTTTTTCCTTTTTGCTCAGGCTCTGGAGAAGAATCCAGAACTAGTCTCCATGTATAAAAAAAAGATGACAAATTTCGACAATTGGCAAAGACCCTTAGTACCACTTGACAAAATGGAAGAAGTATGGGTTGACACCATCATAGTGAGTCCAGAGGGAGAATATGTTGTCAAGTACATGGACTATATGACAATTACCTGGATAGAAGGTCTCTTGGACAGACTCTCAGGGAACCACTTTGTCAACTACGACCACAAGACCAACAACAACCTTGAAGGGTGGCATCATAAGATGGACTCGCTGAATCATGCCATCTCAACATTTATGACTTTGTATCCATGGTCAAGTGGGACAAACGGTATCTTGTTAACTTCCTTGTGTGAATACATGACACTTTTTATAGATAACAACTTATTCATTCCTTGTAACTTAGTTTCAGGGCTACTTCACTCTTTAATGCTACCTTGTGTAATACACATTAACTCAAAAAGCTTACTCAGTATTCTTCTGAAGAAGTGTCAAGAACACCAAATCAGTTATCCACAAATGTCATGCGTTCTTGTTCTTCCATCTTCTGAATGTCTATCGAAGACTCCCATGTGTGATTGCATCGCTTTTTGTTATTGTAATTCAATCTGTGCTAATGGCTGAATAAAATTATTCACCTGCCATGAATAAAACTGTGCCTACATCTACAAACTATCCTTATTTGTCTTTACACCCCTACACCCGTTTGATCAATATTGAATAGCTTTGTTATCAGTCTGGTAATCTCCAGGTACTAATCCTTTGAATATACTTGAATACAGTGCCGATTGATCGACCAATATTTGCCTAATTTTATCATATATTCGACCGATCAGGATGACAATGAAGTAACAGTGTTCCAAGTAAATGATGATACTCAATGGTTCCTTGTCTTCACCACTATGCTGAAATGATCCGATTTTGGGGTCCCTATACCACCTTAGTTTGGACCACTGAGTAATACTAAGACTGTCATGAATTACCTGTTTTTCACCAGCCAGTAGTCCTTTCCATCATCAGTGCCATAACCAGCAACTAACACTCCATGATCTAGCTCTGTGCTGCTGCACTCAGGTTCATCATAGACGCCTGTGGAACAGGACCATAGTCTTCACTTGACATGCTTTTCTCGATCTCAATGATTGCGACATGTTTTTATATCCATTTAAAATAACAAACTTTAAATATTCCGCGTCTCGAACACACGCCACTGGCAATGAAATGCTACAATACTTAAGAACACCATGATTTCGCCAAAAATTATTGTAAACAAAATTTGGTTACATACTAGTTCGAACAACCAACAACAAACATACCCACCCGCACTAGATTTTCAAAAGCAATTGCCTGAGAACCAATTCTTTTTTGTTTTTAAGCCTCAATTACATTTTTAAAGTGAATCAAAGGACTTCTCAATTTTGAAAAGGCACAAACTGACAAACACACACATAAACCGGCCTACGTTACCTCCACTGTAGAGCTGGAATGACTGGTGACTGGCATCTATGGCAATAGAGACTGGTCCTACTTCTGCAACAGAGCTCTTCAGGTCCGACTCACTTCCACTCTCCACATCAACACAACCACTGGCAGTAGCTGCAATCTCAGACTTCTTGAAGTGGCATCTCTCTTGCTGGGGAGGAAACAAGCAGGGGCATTGTAGCCATTTTTCAGTCAAAACAAAAACACTCTTAAACTAACAAGTGAATAGTGTACCCAAAGAAATAAGTTTACAAACAGTCAACTGGATTTAGACCTATGGTAACATGTAACAACTAGATTTGTAGAGAAACAAGTCCTTCCAGAGTGCTAGGAAATGATTTAAGCCAGTAAGGTCACAGTGGCCTCAGAAGAATCAAATCTGGAGCGCCAGAGTGCCAGTGGCAATATTTAATTGTGTTTGTTGTTAAATGCCACACTCAGCGATATACCAGCTATATGATGTCAGTCTGTAAATAATCGAGTCTGAACAGAATTAATAAAATAATTCCAACTTCACTGAAACATTCTCCCAAGTAGGCACACTAAATCATAAAGGGCAGACCTAAACAATACCCTATACCCTATCGCACACTTAATAATACATTTTTATCCCTCCCTACATCATGCTACAGAAGCAGATTTAAAGTGCTTTCTGACAAAACTTAATGAACTCACCTTAGCATCATAAGGGTATTCATTCTCTGACTCAATACCTCCATTGGTGATGACATATTCAAAGGCCTGGTCCATGAGACCCCCATTGCAGCCCTCATTACCAAACTTGCCAGAACAGTCGACCAACTGCTGCTCACTCAAGGAGACTAACTTGTGAGATGCACGGTAATGCTGACCCTCCAGCGAACCAGTCTGTTCAACATATCAATAGGGGCATAGTTTATTGTTAAGGGTGAATGATAGTAATAGTTTTTAGTAATATTCCAGCAATATCACAGCGGGGGGACACCAGAAATAAAACAAATGTTATCATTGTGTAAAATTTTAAGAATACTACCTCTATTACATCATAGCCATAAATTCCCGTATGGGCTGCACAATCACATCCGCTTCACTGCCATACATATCAAATAGTTGAGTGACTGAGTATTGTTTTACGCCGCTTTTTGCAATATTCCAGCAATATCATGGCGGGGGACAACAGAAATGGGCTTCACACATTGTACCCATGTCGGGAATCGAACCCGGGTCTTCGGCGTGAAGAGCGATCGCTTTAACCACTAGGCTACCCGACCGCCCCTCAAATAGTTGAGGAAAACCCTATCCTCCGCACAAATGCATATGCTGATATACCGATGTCTCCTATTGACGTAATTTCCTGGTAGCCCGTACCATGTTACATCCAAGACTAACATGTTTGAGCCCATATCACCTACATCTATGATTCCAGAGTATACAAGGTGTTAGCCAGCAATCTGCCTACAACAAGTTAACAATTTAAAGGACAACTCAGCATGAATTTTTGGTATCCTTGGAATCTTCTACAGACTTTTAGCTAGAGCTTTGATTTTGCAAGCTCTGCAAATTGCCCATGTTGGTGTAGAGATTGGTGTTGGTGTAGAGATTGGTGTTGGTGTGGCAATAGCTGTCTGTTATGGTGGTAAGCCATCCCATCACAGCAGCCTTGGTAATGTCCCTTTTCTGACAAAGGCCTGAAAAGGTAGCCTGTCAGGATAATCCCCAGTTATACTTAAAGGCGGGTATGGTGTATGGCCTAAGCCAATGCCATATGCTGATGACTGATTTATATATTCCGGTTGGGACCTGAAATAGTTTGAACTCCAGCCTCGTGTGTAATTGAGGAAATACCAATGTCACGAAACTCTGACAACCTGGCTGCAGTGGCCATAATCAGGAGAAAAGCTGTCTTTTTCGAGGCTATTAGTAAGTGTAGCATTTGACATGGAGTCATATGGTGTTCCATTAATGCTGTCAGAACAATTGATAAATTCCAGTTTGGGAATGTACATGGTTCTTCATGTCTTCCAGTGAAAATTGGAAATTTTAAGTACAATAAGTACAATTTGTACATTTATATACTTATCCTACCTCTCGCTATGTATATCTTCTTCGATCCTATGTGCTTGAACCTTGTTTCCAACTTCTTAATAAAAAACAATTGCCTGAACACCCCTAGCCTCTCCATGATTACGACCCCAGCTTTGGTCAATTACGTGCCTCTCATGCAGGGTTACCTTCCAACTTGACCAGGTGTCTCTCAACCAACTCATTCTCTTTCTTAGAGTTATCAGGCCAGAGGAACTGAAATGCGGGGGTGGTCGGGTGGGCGTATCACGTGTGAGATAGGATAAGTATATATATATACAATTAATACTTAAAATTTCCAAATCTTTAAACTTATCCTATCTCACACTATGCATTTATCCCACGGTTAGATGGTAGGCTGCAGATACCCTAGCCTGTATAGACTACAACTGTGTAAGGCCATGGTGGATGCAACCTCTCAGGTCTCATACAGGTTGGATGTTTCGGGTGGAGGCAGCCGAGCAAAGGTACATGCTCGAAGGATGATTTTCGTGAATAACCAAACAGGCTGGCCAGGAAGTTGATTCTTTGCTAGAAAATCCAAACAAAGACCTAGGAATGCCCTTCCGCTTCTGGAGCATTTGAACTGGATAGACAAAGTATTGCAAGGGCCGGATGGAGCCACTGACAGTGAAGAAGGTCTTCCCAGTAGACGATGGAGTTGTCTGTTGACTAGCCTTAGCAAGCTGGGGAACCAGTTGCGAGTTGGCCAAAAAGGTACGACCAAAGTCAGAGATAGGTGACTGGTGGCTTCTACCTTCTGTAGGTCCCGGGGAAGAACGCCCGTCAGGGAAATGCGTACGCATTGAGGCCCTTTGAGACTAACATATCGTGATACCAAGCCTGTGTGTCAGGGATGGGCAACACAAATCGGGATAGCTAAGCATTGGAACGGGTGGCAAACAGATCTATCTCTGGGGGCCGATATAACTGGCAGATCCATTGGAAGATCGTCAGGTACCACTCAGTTGGCGACAGTTTGTCTTGTCAGGACAGGGAGCCTGCTATAACATTGGAGACCCCTGGTGTGTGGTAAGCCCTGACATATATGTTGAGAGAGTTGATGAGTTGGAAGAATTCGAGAGCGATAGAGGAGCAACACTGACTTCGAGGATCCCATTCTGTTTACAGGAGTATTGTCAGACTATCATGAGACGAGAAGAGTTATGGAGCTCTGCCTAGTGTGTTACTGCTGGAATGACTGCCTTGAACTCTGGATTGTTGATCCTCATTGGACCAACATCCTGCTACCTGAAGATCGTGAAAATGCACTCCCCAATCTACGGTTGATGCGTCTACAAACAGATGACGGTTAGGGACGGGACAAATGGCCTCAAAGGTACATTCTGCAAACATTTGATTCGACTTACCATGTGGGTGGAGATGGATCGGTAGACATATCTACATTAAACAATCGTTGATTGTGATGAATGGCGCGAGAAAGCATTGAAGTGTTTGTAGATACAGTTTGGCTCGGACGGTGAGCCGGTGAGGGCTTGCTCTGACGTCAGGAGTCCCATGAGCTGTTGCCATTGTCGGAGCTGGAGTGTTTGTTTGAGTGCCAATGAAACATATCGTTGAATCTTCATCCAACGGTCGTGAGAGACAAACATCTTGGCTCGTCGAGTGTCGAAGAGAGCCATGATGAATTTGAGTCGCTGAGTGGGAATGAACTCAGACTTGTCGATGTTGATCAACCAGCCGAGCTGTTGTAGAAGACGACATGTGAAATCAAGTTCTTGACAAAGGATATCAGCATCTGCGTGCGCTTGAATGCAATCGGTGAGATAAGAATGGGACACGACCCCACGGAGATGTAGGAATTTTAAGATGGGCCGAGTAAGGTGGGTAAATAGGCACAGGGCCGAAGAAATTCCACAAGTGAGCACCTTCCATTGGTAATGGCAGCCTTGAAAATAAACCAAAGGAAATGGCAGTGCTCCCAGTGGATGGGGACGTGCAGATAAGAGTCTTGTAGATCAAGACTGAACATGAAACCACTGGGATGAGCGTTTATCGATGTCATGCAGAAGTGAGGTGGAATTTCCAAATACTTGCCGTTGAAAATCTTCATGTTGAAGATCAGCCATAGTGTTAGACTGTCTTTTTGGGAACAAGGAAGATTGGTGCATAAAACCCGGGGTCGCAGGAAATGGGCCAAAGGCATGCTATGGCATTTATTTAAATTAACGTACCTACGGTGTTGATCATAGTTTGTAGTTTTCTGGCCTGGTAGTCTCTGTTGAGGTCAGCATGTAGTGGGAGGAGTGGCATTCAGTGGTAGTCAATATCCTTCCTGGAGTAGTTACATCACAAAGGGATCTGTGAGAATACACTAGTTGTCCACAAACAGTCCAAGTCTTCCGCTTGGAGGCTGAACTACCCAGACGTGCCTTGGAGGAAGGGAGTCACTTATCTTGAAGCCTCTCCAGAACCCTTGGATGCAGTGAAGGAGATGGATTGTCCTGTGGAGGGCTGAGAAAGGGAGTTGAACAGGAGGAGACAAGATCTCGAAGATCCAGCTGAACTGGCACAAATTTTGGATGGCTGCGTTCCTTATTCCCTCGATTTTCCAGTTGGCGTTTCTGTCGAGGGAGATCAACAGTCACTTGGAGACTGGTGTCCTTCTGTATTTCTCATGTGACCTGTAGGATCGCATCAGAAAATATGGTACGTGAAGCCCATGGTTGTTGATAAAGTTCAGCGTTAAACTGATCATCCCAAAGAGCAATGCTGGAGAATACCATAGTGTCGTCAGGCTGTCACGGGACCAGGGTGATAGAGTAGGTCTAGGATGCTTATCCTGCATAAGATGTATCACTCCTCTGACGAAGGCATTATCTTGAGAGTGATGAGAGAGTGAGGCAGAGAGCGCATCTGTTGCCAATAAGATTGTAGACACATGTGGTTGTGTACGGCGAAACATAGCAAAAGATGTGCATGATAAAGGTCCTCAATGACACTTTTGGGAAAGTGTGCTGATGTCATTAACGATCTCAGGGGATGTTACTGTGGCCGACATCCATGAGTGCCAGTATCCTCCTGGACAAAGTGAGGTCCATGTAACTTGTCACATAAGCGGCGAAAGGAAGCGAAGGCCATATCCAAGGTAGACGAAATATCAAACAAAACTGGTCTAGAAGGGAGAGTAATGTTGGAGGATGTGGCTGATGGTACTCCGAATCCTGTTAGTCGATCAACAGCAGAGGCAATATGTTGTAGATGTAACTTATCCGCAAGCCTGGTCTAGAAGGGAGAGTAATGTTGGAGGATGTGGCTGATGGTACTGCGAATCCTGTTAGTCAATCAACAGCAGAGGCAATATGTTGTAGATGTAACTTATCCGCAAGCCTGGTCTAGAAGGGAGAGTAATGTTGGAGGATGTGGCTGATGGTACTGCGAATCCTGTTAGTCAATCAACAGCAGAGGCAATATGTTGTAGATGTAACTTATCCGCAAGCCTGGTCTAGAAGGGAGAGAAATGTTGGAGGATGTGGCTGATGGTACTGCGAATCCTGTTAGTCGATCAACAGCAGAGGAAATATGTTGTAGATGTAACTTATCCGCAATCCAATGAAGAACTGACGTTAGAATCGAAGGAAGGTTCACCGCACTGCTGATCACAGTGGTCCCATCTTGTGGGTAAGATCGGAGCCCGAGACTGTAGAGGGATCGAACCAGTAGTCCAGACTGGGGATTTTGGTGCCGAACAAGAGAGACTTCAGGAATAATGATATGCCCCATCTGAATCTGGTGGTGAATGCCGATCCCTGGGTGGGAAAGTTCCGGAATTTTCGGAGCAATCG